TAAATAAGTAAACGTTACGGTAAAAACGCGAGGTCCTAGCTGTCCAATTGTACGTGGCAACTTCCTCTATAACTCCTTTAAACTTTAAATTTAGCTCACTTTAGTTTTCACAATCAAATTATAGTTTTTTAGCTCTGACTTTCGCTGTGTCCGTAGTCTTTAATGATCACCATGCTTATCACTGTGCCACTTGGTGAACGATGACCCCGAACCGTGACCGTTGAACCGTCGTACGTGCCATGAATTCTCCACGCAATGGCCCCCATTACGTCCATTCATGACTGCATACAGCGTGCTCTGGTGTTGGCTAGTGGCATTGTTCTACAATTTATAGGGAAGTGTCTCCTACTGGCTGCGTTGGTGGAGATTCTGGGACGTTTTACCTTTTACGAACATTTAATCTTTTTCTTGGAATTTAATAACTAAATATACGAAAACTACACGCGATTAATCTCACCAATCTTGGACGGAACACTTACACTTGTTACAATTTAAAGCTTTAGAAACTCCCTTGACATTAATTGACATCATCCCTAAAGTTCTCTCAATGCACCTGAAACAAATGGAACTGTCATGAAAACCCTGAAGTTTCCCGGGTTCTAGAATTTTAATAGAACTTACCCTTACAAACCTTTAAGCTTACCCATAACTTCTGAAAAGTTACTGAAGTTTTCCTAAACTGCAATAAAACTGTGGAAGCATCCCTGAAGTTCCGCGGATGTTGCAAAACTAAACTAGCGTGAGAAAACGGAAGAACCTTTCGAGCGAAGCCAGAAGAAGCTTCCAAAGGGAGTCGAAATAACTTTCCGGTAGGAATCGGAACATAACTTACGGGGCAAGGTGGAAGGAACTTCCAACTTCAGGAAGTGAAAAAATGGATATTTTGATGGACCTATTTGTTCACTGAATAAAAGTATTTCCCGATTCCCAGGATTTTCCGAGATGAGCCATCAGCTGTTTTTCGATTCCTGGTTAGCCAAAAACGACGAGGAAATGGAAACATTAGTCGAAAGAGTAACAAGCATAAGACATTTTTATGGATGAATATTATTTTGAGCAGGCTCAAAAAATTTGAGATATTCAAAAAGATTATAGTCTCTCACAATAGTTTCCTCTGACAGTTCAGCGTGGGCAGACAATCATCATTTTGAATATTTAAAAAAAATCGGTATAAATCGGTATAAAATCTCATAAATCGGTATTCTAAGGATCCTTATCTGTATACCGGTATCAAGTTCGAAAATCGGTATAAATACCGATAAATCGGTATATCTGGCAACGCTGATCAGTTAGTTTGCAAAAACGTTTCCTACACGGAACCAAAAAATTACCCAAAATTAAGTTCTTTTCACTCATCTCCCATGTTCCGTTCAATAAGCTAATTTTCAGTAAACCGCTTATAGTAGTTTACATTTGACTACGGCAAAAATAATTACTTACTCGTGAGTATTTTCTACCCAAAATTAAGTTTAATTGACTCAAATTTGAGAATATCTCATATACTCACTAGTAGCTTATTGAACGATAGTCACGAGAAAGTCGAATCTCTCGTTCCGTTTTTGACAACAACAAAAAGTGAGAGTGGGATGCAGAACTCAAAATTACCCAAATTTAAGTAAAAAGAACTTTAATTTAATGTATTTTTTTTTCTCTGTGTACGTGATTCACTCGGTGATCCATGCAAAATTTTCCACACAGCAAAAAAAGTTGTTGAATATTACATCGAAACTGCTGCAACTAGGTCAATCTATCGGTTGTGCAATATCACATTGTACGATGTACATCGATTTTGCGAACAAAATTACATCCATTGATGTAATATTGTATCTGCTTTTTGCTATTACATCATTATTTCATACATCAGCTTGAATTAATTATATGATTTGAGTAGTAGCTATACTGAAGATCCGAGAGATGTCGCCCCTTCAGTGGTAGGAAAATCATTTTTGCAGTATGGAGAATATCAAAAAATCCACGATTTGTGACTAAACATGCTTTCACAGAAGGAAACAAATAAACGAGCGTTTACCTTATCACCATAGTAATGTACTCGTGCAATTTTTGTACATCTAAAACTGCCCATAAAGACGATAATGAATAAAAATTGAAAATTTTCATGCATTTCCAAATGGTTTCCTACCATTCCCATACATTCGAAAGTGAATGGCCCTCTGGATGTGGATGATTTCAAAAACTACAAAACATGATTAATTACGTTGATCGATATAGGCTGTTTCTATGCACCACCAATGTAGAGTGCGCTATGCGCTTATTAGAGGAAAGGTCAACCAAACCGTTTGTTTACATCCAAATTACAATTTTACATCTCAAATTAACGCATATTGTTATGCGTATCTTGCATATTTCCATCGGGAGGGGTCTTATTTTATTATTTTTCACATATTCGAATGGATTTACAGCTCAAATAACACCAAATTAAAAATCCGGAAGATCATAACCGCTGGGGTAGTTTTATAAATCTTCGTTTTTCTTAACAAAAATATGTGGAAGCACCAGCCGTTCACTCCAAAATCGATACAGAAAACAAAATATTCCATTTGGATGTTGATTACAAGCACCTGCGATGGATGAACTAATCAGAAAAGTTAAAAACATTTACCTCTTCCTATGCTTCACGGTGAAAATTTCAGCCCTCATCACTCTTTTGATAGTTCTCTTATTCACCACCAGAGGCTGAAACGATCGCTTAATTTCCATTGGATTCGCCTATTGGAAGATTGCCGCAAAAGCTCAACGCAGATGTCGCCATTGCATGATGATGATAATGTTGACAGACTGCATATAAAATTCGTGAAAATTAGCATTAAATCATAATTTTCATCAAGCCTGCGTGAAATCCTTCCAATATAACATTCGAATTGAAGAAGAAAACGTTTTTACGACCAGACTGATGTGCAGCTTTGACTTTTCCAGGTGAACTTTCATAAGATATATTAATTTCATTTCACGGCTCCATCAATGCTGCATCGTAAATATGATGGTAAACAGAAGTAAATTGCTCAATTACTCAAAATAAAGATGATTTGTCATCTTGTTATCACTTTGAAGACCATCTAGCACCATTTTATAGTATGGTGCGTGTTGAGTAAATCAAGCTCCGGTGCGTTTTTCGTCAAAAATTGTGAGTATCAATATGTTTGCTTAGAAAAGGCCAAAATGAACATTTATTGAATATTGGCGTCCTATACAACCAATTCTCCATTACCACCAGCATGATACAACCTTTCCTAAGTAAATTAACTTAATTTCCACTTTCATCTTAGTGGAAATCGCACATATTTACCATTTTCCGAAAAATGTAGCTGCGCAGGAGGTAACCCAATGGGAACCTCTCCCTGTGGGTGCAAACTTGTTATGCATAATTTGCCATGAAAACATCTCTGATCCATACCGAAATATTAACAAATAGTTTTCAAACACGTTTTCTTACACGATTCAAGCAAAAGTTTCCACTGGAAATTATTAGCTTTTCTTTATGGACCGATTTGCCCCAAAAAGCGTCTGCTTTGCTTGGAAAATTTGGAAACTATCCTCCTTCTAGTAGTTCTCACTTCGAAGTGTAGGTAGCGAAAGCTTGGAAAAGTTTCACTGCAAGACGCCAATTACATTTTTTTTGCTGTGCATTGGCGTCTTGCAGTGAAACTTTTCCAAGCTTTCACCTCCTACATTTCGAAGTGAGAACTACTAGATGGAGGATAGTTACCAAATTTTCCAAGACGATTTTTGGGGCAAATCGGTCCATTAAGAAAAACTAATAATTTCCCGTGGAAACTTCTGCTTGAATCGTGTAAGAAAACGTGTTTGAAAACTAATTGTTATTATTTCGGTATGGATCGGAGAGGTTTTCATGGAAAATAATGCATAACAAGTCTGCACCCACAGCGAGAGGTTACCTCCTGCGCAGCTACATTTTTCGGAAAATGGTAAATATGTGCGATTTCCACTAAGATGAAAGTGGAAATTAAGTTAATTTACTTACGAAAGGTTGTATCATGCTGGTGGTAATGGAGAATTGGTTGTATAGGACGTCAATATTCAATAAATGTTCATTTTGGCCTTTTCTAAGCAAACATATTGATACTCACAATTTTCGACGGAAAACGCAGCGGAACTTGCTTTACTCAACACGCACCATACTATAAAATGGTGCTAGATGGTCTTCAAAGTGATAACAAGATGAAAAATCATCTTTATTTTGAGTAATTGAGCAATTTACTTCTGTTTACCATCATATTTACGATGCAGCATTGATGGAGCCGTGAAATGAAATTAATATATCTTATGAAAGTTCAACTGGAAAAGTCAAAGATGCACATCAGTCTGATCGTAAAAACGTTTTCTTCTTCAATTCGAATGTTATATTGGAAGGATTTTACACAGGCTTGATGAAAATTATGATTTAACGCTAATTTTCACGAATTTTATATGCAGTTTGTCAACATTATTATCATCATGCAGTGGCGACATCTGCGTTGAGCTTTTACGGCAATCTTCCAATGGGAAATCATCATTTTTTCTTTATGAAGTGATTCTTCTAGAAATTCGTCTGTTTTACTTTAAGAATTTGGCAACAATCCTCCCCAGAATCCGTGAAGTTATGAAATAGCTACACCCTATGCGACACCTAGTTTTCAACTTTCATATTAATCATCGACCTTTATTCATCTGTGTTTCATCTCAAAATTACGAACTTTCATATAGGGTAGACGTACCAGTTATGACTATACGTTCCCATTATGGTGTGTTCCAATTATGGCCTATGGAATTCCATAGGCCATAATTGGAACATACCATAATGGGAACGTATAGCCATAACTGGTACGTCTACCCTATATGAATATAATATTATGTGACGAGTATGTGACGTTCATTCCGTTCTGTACCACCCTGCGGAAATTTTGAGACAAGGATTGTGATGTTCAATAAGCACTGCCAGTGATCTGTCAAAATCACATGAGAAACGTTCAAAAATTTGTTATCATGTTTACATAATTTCCTGCACTTCACGAATTTTGTGCAAAATTTAGTTTTTATCTAGCTATTTTCGGATCAACGTAACTATTCGACGGTTCGTCGTGAAGATCCGGTTCTATATATTTCGCCAACAGAAATGTTCAAAACGCTGCGCTTCATGGTGCAGTGCACGGTTCTCAGGCCGACCGGTGTTCCTACGCTAGCGGCGCCGGTAAGAAACCTTCGTGTTAGTCCTCTAGCCCGGGCGGGTCATTCCAAGTGGCAAAACATCCGACATATCAAAGCCCTCACAGATGGCCGCAAGTCGGTGCTGTTCATCAAACTAGCTCGCCAGATCCGTTTGGCCATCCAAGCCGGTGGGACAAACCCGGCCGTAAACAACGGTCTGCGAGCCGCGATCGACGATGCCCTCAAAAAGAACATGCCCAACTCGACGATTCAGGGAATCCTGAAGAAGGCCAGCCAATCGTCGACGCAGCTGAAGAAGTTTTCCCTGGAAATTAAGGCCTTCGATCAGATCAACATCATCTGCGTCCTGTACACGGATCGGTTCACGCAGCTCAAGATAGAGATGGCGACGACTCTGAGGAAGAACTTGTGAGTTTCGCGAGTACGGTGTGTAGAATAGGAGATTTATTAATATTCTACTATATTTATTTTTTTCAGTGCCACATTTAACGATTGCAAACACTTGTTCGAGGAGCAGGGATACATTGAGGCCATTCTCAAGTCCGAAGTGCCCAAAGACGAGCTGTTATCGATAGGTACAGAGCACGCCATCGAAGCCGGTGCGGAAGACGTCGAAGTCATGAATGATGACTCTAATTTATTACGAGTGAGTAAAGGAGTATTTTAACTATGCGTCCAAAATTATCCAACTCGAACCGTTTCAGTTCCTCTGTGAGCCCAACGCAATCGATAAGGTAAAAACTCAACTGGAGAAGCTAGGATATTCAATTGAACACAGCGAGCATGCATTTTTCCCCAAGAGCACGATAAAGTTGAATCCGGACGCCACGGAAGCCTACGAGAAGCTAAAGGAAAGGCTGTGCGCAATCGACGGCGTGGAGGATATCTACGACAATGTGGAGGTGGTTTATTGAGGTGGAGGAATCCGTAAAAGTTGGTGCTGAATTAAGGAAGTTTAAAAACTAACCGAGCTGCTTATCATGATTGTATATCACATTCCCGTTGAAGTCGAATTTAAGAGCTATAAGTGGAGCAAATGGAGAAGACGTCCCTGTGGTTTTGGCATACGGCATATGAAGGAGCCGTAGCGGTTGCCGAGCCGGGTTGCAGTATGTCTTTGACGTATTAGAAATCACTAGATCCTGTTGGTTGGTTGGTTGTCTTATAGTCGCTATATTCATAGTCTGGCGGATAGAATTTCGATCTATCAAAAAGCGGAACCAATTCAATATATTTTAGACCAGCAATTGAAAAGGTACTATCAACTTTTATAAACAAAACGTTGATTGTTCTTTCCTCGCCAATCGAACGCAAATTAACGGCATCATCGAATAGGGTAAACTTTCCTCAACCCAAAGATGGTGGTAGTTTTCGTAGGCGAGCCTTGAGTCACGAGAAAAGGGTTTCCGAAGTTTTGTTCGCAATAGCTGATGTGCTTTATTCTGTTGTTGGTCGTGATTTGCTCGATTGGTTCCGCTGTTTGACAGCTCAATTGGTTCCCGAGATTCTATCCGCCAGACTATGAATATAGCGACTATAGGTTGTCTTCATGAAGGAGACGATCCTGTCATAATCTATAGTCCCCCCTATTCTGCGAGTCACGTGACTCTCTCTCACCGGTGAGGTGACAATAGTCACCTCGTGTGAGGTGACTCTCCATTTGATTTGCATGGAGAGTCACCTTACACGAGGTGACAATTGTCACCTCACCGGTGAGAGAGAGTCACGTGACTCGCAGAATAAGGGTGAGTATTAATGGCTGTAAGTTGTAATTTGAACACATTTTTCAGACAACGTCGGGAAAATCAGGGAATTTATTTTTCATCTTTGAGTCCACACCCTGTTAGAATTCTTCAAAATTACTTTCAAATTCTAAATGGAAGTCCTTGAAAATACGTTCCGTTCCGTAATTCCCTTGGAGTTCGCTACAGAATGCTCTTGGAATTACGGCCAATTGATTGAATGTCAACGAAATGTCGTGGATGGAATGTCTTTGAATGCGCCACTTTGTCTTGTCGCATTTGGCGGGGATCATTTTAGCCACCCCCTCACTACGTCCCTGACTCACTGGTGACAGGGTTACACGATTTAACGAATAGAAAGGAATGCTGGCCATACAATATTCAAATGATAAACTGTGAAATTGTTAAGAGAACTCTGCTGTTCAGGACACGCGTAAAGTTCCTATTGTACAATAATTGCCACGTAGAAATTGTTAACATAGTAATGAATTTAGCAGAGTTGTTGAAACTCTACCTTGGACATGTTCTATTTGGACTGAGTCTCATACTCAGACTTCAAAGATCACGGATGGCTCCATATGCCCTATTACTTCAAGTTTTCTAGAGCACAAATCTCGGACACTGTTGCGACAGTGCTCAAGTCAATTGGAAATCCCCGTTTGCTGTTCCAGTTTCAAGGCAGGCACAAACATAATGTAGGCGGAAGTGGAATGAATGGTGTCCTACGTAAGGCTGAATAATTTTCAAAATTCTTCCTCTCCCGATAGTTTTCTTAGTTACGCGAGAATATTTGTGCTCTTGAAAGTTATCACCTCGAATTCAGATGCAAGATCAATCAGAATCAAGGTGGGTTATTCCGAGAGTCGAAGTGACGTTTGTCAATAGCGAAGTGAGAAAAGTCACGTCTTGGTCTTGGTCACCACGACGTGACTTTTCTCACTCCACTAGTTCGGAATAACCCCCATGTTTCGATTCACCTTAGCCAGAATTGTTTTTCTTCTTTACACAGTTAATCCGTTTCGATAGAAAACGGACAGAGGGATGAACATATGAAGAAACAAGGCGAATTCCCACCGATAACAGTATATGTACCCACTATCAATGAAACGCTATCTCGCTTTCCTACTGAACAATCTATTTATATTTGTTTTGCCTCCTAGCAGTGAACATGTTTTGCATCTTCTTGTTTTTGGACTTACACAGTAATTCTCTATACTTTAAAATAATCATTACTCATATTCGTTTTGAGGCTCGAATGCTGCTCTTCCGAAATGCCCCGAGAGAGTGAGAGGAAAGGTGATAAGCTACGAGTGGTGCCGTCTTGACCCCCACTTGAGTAGCTTTACGTACATCTTCTGAAAACGAACCGGCAGCGCTCCTATTTACTGTCTAGCATTGACGATCTGAATGAACTCCGGCTTCAGCGAAGCACCGCCGACCAGGAAACCGTCGATATCGGGCTTGGCGGCCAGCTCACGGCAGTTGGCAGCAGTAACCGATCCTCCGTACTGGATGCGGATCGCTGCGGCAACATCGGCGGACACATTGTCGGTGAACCACTTCCTCAGAGCGGCGTGCACCTCCTGGGCCTGCTCCGGGGTGGCAGTCTTACCGGTACCGATAGCCCAAACCGGTTCGTAGGCGATCACAACCTTGCTCCAGTCCTTGACCTTGTCGGCGATGGCCTTGGTCTGGCGGAAGCAAACGGCCTCGGTTTGGCCGGCTTCACGCTCCTGCAGCGTCTCACCAATGCAAGCGATGACCTTAAGGCCTTCGGCCAGGGCATGCACGACCTTGTCGGCGATCAGTTCGTCCGACTCACCGAAAATGGCACGACGCTCCGAGTGACCCAGAATGACCCAACCAATGTTCAGATCCTTCAGCATAGCCGGCGAAATTTCACCGGTGAAGGCACCCTTCGCAACCTTGTAGCAGTTCTGTTGGGAGAAAACAAATTTGAACCGATCAAAAATTGAACGACTATTGTGTAATTCGAACAATGAGCAGCAAAACAATGTATATCGATTATTCACTCAAAAATTGAAAGTGAAAGCCATCTGCTCCGCAGCTTTGGCACAAACCCAATCAGGCCATCGCCCTTTTTTTCTGTATGTTAACCTTATCGAACTGACTTTTGTCTCGCTGCACACAAACTGCTATATATGGTTAAAAATACCAATAACTCACCTGGGCGGCAACGTCAACGCTGTCCGGCAGCAGGGAGCGGGCCAGGGTCAGATATGGGGCCGGGCATCCGACGACGACCTCGGTGTCAGCATTCAGAGGACCGGTGGTCAGGACTTTGCAGAGATCGGTGATGCTGGCCTTGTCACCGTTCAGCTTCCAGTTGCCACCGACACAGAACTTGCGACCCATTTTGTTCGAGTTGATTGACTAGACTGACTGCGAGAAACTGCAAACGAAATGATAATTATCATTGTGTAATCACCCATCACCATTTTTAATTGACGATTGATCACTGGTAGGTATTCAGCGGTCGTCTTATAACACAACACAGCACGTTCGTGTATTATTCTACTCTAAATGAAAGTGATAGTGCAACGTCTGCTACCTACAATGTCAAGGCGAAATTCAAGTTTTCACTGTTCAACTTACGATGAAAGTGATTCTGCTTCCTACCGGCGCTATGGTTTGCACTTTTGTGGAGAAATTCAACCTCCAGATGACCTTTGTGCAAAACATCGTTTCGCTCTCGTCTCACGTATTCCTCTCGGACTCGGTGGAGAGACCGACGCCGACGAAGAGAGTTCGACGCTCCGACCGAAAGTGTCAGATGCAAAGGCAGATAGGTGAGCAGTTTTGTGACTTGCAACAGTATTTGTAACGATCAGGGGCACGTGGTGTATGTTCGAGCGTTTCAGTTCGTTAATCGATTATTCGAGTCTAGAGATGAACTAGCCTAAGGCTAAAAATCTCTTAAATAAAGAATTAAAAAAAAAAAAAGATTATTCGAGTCAATATCGGACTATCACTACACGGTAACCGCAAATTTCCCAATAATGACTATAAAAGACTTGATATTAACTACAAAGTAAGCATTTTCGAGGGAGACTGGGACTACCCATAAAATAAGTAAAAAAAATAACCCATTTATGAGTATTTGATACTCACAAAGGAATTCTTACTACTTATTTTTGTAGTTGTAATTACTCATAAATGGATTAAATTTTACTCATTTAATGGGTACTCCCAGTTTCCCTCGAAACTGATTAAGGTCCGTTTAGACTATCTGATTTTGTTCGCCGCCATAATGAAAAATCTGCTCGAATTTACTTTCGACACACTTTGTCGAACCCTGTTTGCTGGTGTTCACACTGCTTGGGGCCCATGCATTAATTATGTCACGCTAAATCGAGGAGAAATTTACCCCCCCCCCTCTATCGTGACGTTTTTCCAATACCTAATGCATTGCTTGTCACAAAATCTTAGACCCCCCCCCCTCCTAGAGCGTGACATAATATATGCATCAACCCTTGCACTTGTCGAAAGAACTGTCAATTTAGATTTCAAAACAAAAGTAAATACTTCCATGTCAACAGTGGACTTGCCACTAAAGGGTGAAAAGAAGAAGAAGAAATACTTCCATCATGAATTACCGGAAGCCGGCGCCGGTGGTGTAGTGGTAAGCGTGACTGATTTCTAACACCCCAACCTGCACCCCAATGGGTCTGGGTTCAATCCAGCCGAGGTCGGTGGGATTTTTCTGAGGCATTAAAATCTCTGGTCACGTCTTCCTTCGGGAGGGAAGTAAAGCCGTTGGTCCCGGCCCATGTGTGTTTGACGAATGGGTGCGATACCCTACGCAGGTGTGGAAGCTGCCTTCCTGCACATTCGATTGCCGTCAATGGATGGCAATCGATGTCCGTCGGTGATTGGCACTAGATTGCGGAACAGAGACCGACGTTAAATAAAGGAAAGAAGAAGAAGAAGTACCGGAAAATTGCTCTAGCTTCGACAGGCGTATTTGCTTTTATTATTTTAAATAAAATGAGCAGGAGAAGGTGAACTTTGTGGAGTATGAAATGGTTGCTCAGGAGGAACACCGGCAGGGATCTGGCTCGTGGATGGATTTCAAAACTTCGCCAGGATCTCGATACCAACTTTCGACAAGTTAGTGGGAAAAGTTCTCTATAGATCTACATGATTCCTTGAGTTCTGAAAATTTCTGTTAAGAACTCAATTCTGCACATTTTTTGAAGACCTTCGGACGTCCCTGAAGTTTTGTTTCTGTTCTCCGGTGAAATCCCAACTAACAATTTTCACAATGTAAACGCTTTACTCATTTCATTTATACAGCCTCAAGCTGTATTCAAACGTTATACGATATGAGGAAACCTTTACTCAATCTCTATACAAGCAAATCTGGCGAACTTAATCAGCTACTTATGGCTGTTGGAACGGTCGGGTGAAGTTCTTATTGCATATCCATTAACGCTTCTATACAGCTGTTATCCTGCTGTTTAGTTGTGTGTGAACTTGAAAGGCGCTTATTCAACTTTTTCCCGGTTATCCAATAATCACTACACAGTTTTCTCTTGAAGCCGGGTTAAATACTATTTACGCTTTTTTATGAAGGAATTTATTGAGTATATTTTACTGTGAATCAAATTAATCAAAATTAGTTACAAATTATCACCAAATTATTTACCCTGTACCGGAACCTGAAATCGAACTCGAGACGACCTTATTGGCAGCAAACCTTGACACTACCAACTGTGCTACGCCAACACTTTGAACTGATGTAAACAAATCAACATGCCCTTCTACAACAAAATCGCTGAGTAGAGGCTTTATAATAGTGCACATGAATCACTTTTCTCGACTAGTTACTTCAGCTTTGTAAAAGAGCAGAGTAAAAGCTGTAAAACTGCACACGTCTAAAAATAAACCTAGTTGACTGTGAAAATGCTTCCGAAGTTGCTCTAACACAGTTTATTAGCTGAGTACAGGATGTTTAGTTGTTGAAAAAGCACTTTTGATGTTTATGTTACTCAGCAAGAGTAATATATTCACTTTATTAGCTTTGTTTAGCAGTAACAAGTTGAAAGTTGATTAGTATGTGTATAAAAGAGACATTAGCGTTTTTAGGCTGTTGTTATTCAGTGCGACTGACAAATTGAATAATGGTTGTGAAAAAGTTGAGTAAACGCTCTCCAAAACTATTTTGCTAGCTTTTGCTTGTAGCTGTATCTGCAGCTTCTTTTCAGCTACTTTACAGCACAACGCTGGAAAAGTTGGCTTACAAAGCTGAAAATGTTAGTTGGGATATCTTTAAAGATCAACGAACTTTTCTGAAGATCTGAAAATTTCTCGGTAGTTCTACAGATTTCTTTGAAGTTTGTTCTTCAGAAGATCTGCAAATTTTCCTAAAAATCTACAAAGTTCCTGAATCCCTGAAGATTTAAGATCCTTAAAGATCAACAATTATGTCTGATGTTCAAAAAATTTCTAATAATTTACGAACTTCTTGAAAGTTCTGTAATTTTCTCTGTAGATTTTCATTATTCAATTAATATCTGCAAGTATCTCTGAACATCTACACGATTTCCTAAAGAATTAAAAGATTATCTAGAAATTTTTGAGCTTTCCGGAAGTTTTAGGAAGTTTTCTGAAGTTTAAATTTTTTTTCTGAAGTTGTGCAAATATCTCTAAAGATCAGCGAACTAACCTGAAGTTCTGTACATTTCTCTTAAAATCCAAGAACCGCAATAAAAATCATTTAAAATTTATTTAAACATTTGCAGATTTTTCAGTAGATTTACGATCTACCCTCTGAACTTTTCTGAAGTTTCTAAAAAATTTAATTCTGTAAAGTTTTCTGAAGTACTGTATTTCTGTTCTGAAGATCTACGAACTGCCCTGAAGTTCAATAAATTTGTCAGTAGATCTCCGAATTTTTCTAAAGTTTTGTAAATTTCTTTGTGGATTCTTGGATTTCCATAAAGTTCTGCAGATATATTTGAAATTCTTTGAAATTCCTCAAAGTTTTAAAAAAATATCTGAAGAATTACGAATTTCTCTGAAGTTGTACTTCTAAAGATCGGCGAACTTTTCCGAAGTTCTGTGAGTTTTGCTGAAGATTTGCAATTTTTTCTAAAAACATTCGAACTGTCTGGCGTTCTGCAGACTTCTCTTAAGGTCTACTGACTTCTCTGAAGTTCTTCAGATCTATCTATTTCCAACTTCCATGGAGTTCTGCAAAATCTTGGACTTTTGAACTTCGCTGCGATTTGTTTTTGGAATTGAGGTACTTTTCTGACATTTTACGAATTTTTCTGAAGATCTCACATTTTTCTGAAACTGTGAAGTTTTTTTGAAAAATTCCTGCAAATATATTTAATGTTCTGCAAAGTTGTCTGAAGCTCCGTAGTTCTATTCTCAAGATCTACGAAAAAAAAAACCTTAAGGCTCAATAATTTTCTCAGTAGATGTGCAAACTTCTCTGAAGTTTTGTAAATTCCTCTGCTGGCTCTCGGCTTACTCAGAAGATCTGAAATTTCTCTGAAAATCTTCTCAATTACCTTAAGTTCTCAAAAAAAAAATTGAAAATATTTGTCTCTCTCAAGATCTACAAATTTCCCTGAAATCGTATAAATATTTTTTTAGTCGCCGACCTTCCCTGAAGTTCTACAAATTTTACTGAAGATCTATGACCATTCTTGTGATTTTTTTCAGAAGTTCTGTAATTTTTTTCAAAGTTCTGTAGCTTTGTTCTGAAGATCTACGAACTTTTCTGATGTTGAAATTTTTTTTCAGTAGATCTCCAAACTTCTGTGAAATAGGGGAAATGACGGCTTCGGCATGCCAGACTATTTTCGGCAACCCAAATTGAAACACTATTTTCACTGGATTTTCTTACGAAAACACTTCGCTGAATGCATGCAAACGATTCTTTATGCTTTGAGCTTCACTTTGACTATATTTTTACCACTGAGAAAAAGCAATCTAGCAAGGTTTTCTTGAAATGCAACACACGCACTACAAATTGTAGCTGATTTCGAGTTGCCGATAATAGAACAGCAGATTTACATGCAGTTCAAATGGAACGGTTGCCGAAGAAAAACTGGTTGCCGACAATACTCGCTCTCACTAGAGAAGTTTGGAGCTTTGTAAAAGCGTTTCAAAACAGTTTTTGACAATTCTTTCGACTGAAATTGTTAGAGCAGCTGGCAGCAATAGATTGTAAACAAACCAATACTGCATATGTGTGCGTTCCATAGAGAAAAAGGCTATAGAAAGAAGGTCGCTGTTTAGGTTGCCGAGAATACGTAAATTCCCCTACTTTATATTTCACTGCAGGGCTGTCTTGCATCAACGTAGAGAGAACAAAGTCAGTGATGAAAAATATTGTATTACTATCTTCGTCGCACACCAAACAGCGCATGACAAATTCCGTACGAAGACAGTCCTCTTTCATTTACGTCGTGAAAAAAAACTATATCAGTACGTTCTCTCTCTCTTAGATCTGTCGGTTACTCGGAGAGGATTAAAAACTTGAAACTAAGGCCGTTCGCAATGCTGTTGTATTTTATAAGGACTGTTTCAATTTGAAACTAGAACAGAAACGCACCTCTCGCAATGCTGAGTTGCAGTTTCATTATTCGAGCACTATTTTGCACCAGATTTGCAACTGCTCGACTATTCTGTTTTATTTCTGAGCGAGTTTGAAACACGAAAGGAACTCTGTTTCAAATTTCTTTG